ATTGTAGAGCAGTGTTAAGGTATTGACATTTCAAAGAAATAACCTACAGTTTCCCAGAAGAATTATTTTTAATACTGGCAGTCTTCATGTTCCATACACAAAACATAAATCTTCTGTCAGAAAGCTCAAAGTTAAAAACTCTACACCAGGCTCTTTGTTTAGTGTTTTCTTTTCCTTTTGGGTACAGTGAACTCTAAAGACATAAAGTTAAGAAGTCAGGTCTAAAAAAAATAACTCACACTTAAATGATAATACTTAATTGATAATATACATTTAAACTATTTTTTTTAATTAGTATGACACAATAAGAATGACCTCACAGCAAACACTCAACAAGAAATTTTAAACCTGATACGCACACACATGAATTTTCTTTAAAATGATATAGCACTTTAAAACTTACTATCTCCATTGAGATAGTAAGATCTCAATCTTACTAAGATACCAATCTATTAAGACAGTGGATCTCAGTCATCCTAAATCCTACTTAATAAGTAATGTTACTTTGAAGTCATTTCACATGAGTATGCCTTCCCTATAATTAGCATAGATCCAGTGTGCCAGATCTGAAAGGTATCTAGGCCAGTACTAAGAAAGGTAAAGTGACTAAGATTTCCATTTCATTTCAATTATATCTGCAAACGTAACCCAAAACACAAGTACCATACATCTTTCTGGCTACCACAGCAGATGCCATAACCAAGACTCAAATAAATGTCCATATAGAAACAGCTGTGAACCTAAAAGTTACCAATCATTACAGGCAAAGAAAGTAATATAGAAAATATAAAAACACAAAAATTATGAAAGATGCAACAAAACATACTCAATGAAAATGAAAAACAAAAAGGGAATGGCAGAAAAAGGAAAAGAGCAAAGACAAGGGAAAAGATTAAGACAAAGAAAACAGGTTCCTAGAAGAGAGCAGCAGCCAGGATAAAGAGTACAACAGGCCAAAGAACACTGTCCAGATGAAATAAGGTCACAGGTCTGGGAGAGACAGCTTTAAAAAGATGAAACTGACAGAATTCCTAATAGGTATCCATGTCCATTCATTTGTTGTATTATCAATGACTTTTTTTTTTTTTTTTGAGACAGAAGTCTATGTTGCCCAGGCTGATCTTGAACTCCGGGCTCAAGTGAGTCAGGCTGGGACTACAGGCACACATCACTGTGCCTGGCATCACTGACTTTTAAGTCAATGATTAATAATATGATTAATACTGAAATTCTCCAATGAGCCAAGATAAAAGGATCACAAGAACATACAGCCAACTGTCATGCTCTTGAATGGTTCTAAACCTTGATGCTCTATGAGTGCAAGTTTCCTTCACTAGTTTGAGAAAATTTCATTTGTACCTGTTTCACTATAACTTTCATTCTCTTCTTCCTCTTCTGTAATTACAGGCATACTCAGACTTAAAGATTTATCTTCCTTCTGTACATTCTGTACATTACCTGGAAATAGTTAGAAAATGATTTTATGTGAAAATAAAGAATATTAATCTTAGATAAAACTTTGTGTTTAAAAATAATGTCAGTATCATAGCAACATAAAAATTAGATGTTTAAACTAAAAACTGAAATTGTAATGAACAGAAATATGTATTCTAGAATACATATCTTTACAAAGTATTAACACAGTTGTATCTATGCTTTGAAGATAGTCTCTAATTCTTCCACTAAAATAAAGAAAATAGAGAAAATGGGAAAAAACAAAATTAGCCAGATACTTTATTCAAACTATCACACACAACAGGAGTTATATCTGCAAACATCAGAGAATAATCAGGTGTGCTATTAATACTTCAACTTTATCAAAGAAATCACAAATGTAATTTTTAAGTTTAATAACCTTGTGTTTGAATGCAGACATGCTTTCTTCACCACATATGTTCAACAAGACATATTTCTCTAGTCGTAACTTACCACTGATTTTCCTTTTTCAAAAACACTGGATGTTTTCTACATCAACTCCTGTTACTTGAAGAAATATTCTAATCAAATTTACCAGATACCAGTGTCACATCAGGTGCCATTTAGCACACAACTCCCATGTCCCAAAAGCAACCCCCATACACAGTTGCTCTTTATTCCTTACGCTGCATTTTCTTCTCCACAACACTTTTATTACTTGATATACTGTATATTAATTTGTTTCTTTATAGTCTGCCTCTTCCCACTTAGAGTATAAGCACTACAAGTGTAGATTTTGGTTTGTTTACATGATGTACCCCTAGCACCATCGCATATAAAAGTGCCTGGCATATAGTGGGGCCTCAATAAATATTAAATGGTTAAATATGGATTCAACTATTTCATAGCACAATATTTCACAGAGCAGATATGTAACAGTAATAAGTACCTATCAACACAGAAAGCAAGAAATAAGACGAAAATGAATTTAAGCTTTCTGCTCTGAATGCATGTATGCTGGGATCTTAATGGGGTACAGATTTTATGGAATGAACAGAGTGCTAAGACGGAGTTGAGTGAACTGTAGCAATACACATTCATTTTAAACACAATTCAACCTTAATAAAGTAATACCAATTTCCCATTAAGCCACTGAAATGATTTTATCTTTACTTACAACTCTTAAGTAAAATGATTTCTTACATGATCTTTAAGATGATAGATAATCTTTTAGGAAACCTCTTTCCATAGCTAATCATATATCTTTTTTTAGACTTTGAACCTATAAATTTTTTTCAGTTGCTTACAAAATTATAATCAGTAACATCTACCCAAAATTACTAATATTGTTCTTCCCAGT